CAGTTTTCTGCATTGTTTAGTTGCTTGGTTTTTCTGCTGCAATTTTGGTTTGAAGTTGAGCAAATGGTCAGGTCCCTTTATTGCATTTTTGTGTTCGGAAGATTGTTGGAACTTTTCCCTCTCCCTGGTTTCATGTGCTTGCATTTTAAATGCATTAAATCATCTTCTGATTTCTGGTACGAAGAGTTGCTAAAAATACTCACCATTGCCTACTGCGTTTGATGCCTACCTTTTGTTATGCCTGCTGCCGCAAACCTTTGTTCCTGTTTGTTCATTTGGCTCAAGTAGCTATTACTTGCATTTCGGAGGAGTTTTGTTAATTGCTTAAAACCATGTTTGAGATTATGTTAAAACTGATTATGTGGGTTTGGGGCTGATGAGATAGCAGCTTTGGTTAGAATTTTTTTTTTTACGAATAGAACCATACGAAACAAGCTGCAAATTTGCAGCAGAAATGGTAGAAGCAAAAATGCAGCAGGCTCCAATTTCGGTTGCTGAAATTTCAGATTGTTTGAACTATTTGATTTGCTTGATTATTTGAAATGTTTTGAGAGGTGTAACATGGTTTTAAGTGGAGTTGATCCGAAGTTCTACATGAATTTTGTTTTTGCCGAAAAGTTACATGCAAAGATAGAAAGCCACGGCTAAGAATTTGCAGCAAGCTTGGAAGCAAAAGTCAGCAGATTTCATCCTTTTTAGTTGCAGATTTTGGAGCCCTTTACGTATGCATGCATGAAAAACCAAAGAAAATTGTCCTTTAACCCCTCAAGATCCCCCTTATTACACTAGGACCCAATCAATTGAATAATCTCCTCAATTTAGTCCTTGGTAGTTTTAATTTTGAAACTTCATTGCTTGCTTTGCTTCAAATTAACTACCATGCTTTGTCAATAGCACTTAAGCCATGACTTTAGGGGCTTTATGACCGAATGAGCTCTTGTTTGCCTATTTTCTTTAATCTCTTCAAATAAATTGGTACATTGACCATTTCTTTTATTTTGGAGGATAAATAAGTGATTTCACTCCATTTAACACTACAAAAGGGAGCGGTATAATTTCTTTTATCCCCTTTTGTCTCTCTTATGTGATCCAATGTGCTACGTGAAAATTGCATGTCTACTTGCTTCCTTTACTTTTCCTTAATCTCTTTCATTTATTTCATTTCCTTTTTGCTTTTAATTAAGTTATTCTTTTATGGGGTATGTGTACACCTCTTGGCTTGTAATAGATAGGATTTGGAGGAGCATTCGATGAAGACCTATTGAAGACGTGTGCCTAGCTAGCAAATGTAATAGGTTCATTAGCTTGATTGCTATGTGTTAACTGCTTTATTAGGCCTTTGCATCTAGTCGAGCATGCTAAGTGTTATGTGTTATGTGTTTACAAGTATTCGACATGTCTATTTGCTTTCCATAGTCCTGAATGAATGTGATGGATGAATGTACGTTTCCACTAGTCCAACGCTAGTCGGAATTCATAGAATAGGCTAGTCCAACGCTAGACCCTTAGGGGTTTCCCCTCGTTAGTACATGTTTGCATGTTCATTACATGTCATGCATTCTTTTTTTTTAGTTTTATCATTTTGTATGCCCCTCGAACCCCTTTTCCTTCCATTTTAGGATTTTTTGCATTTCATGCTAGTTATAGGGTTCATTTGCTTGAGAGTCCCCTTAAATATGGGATATAGACGAGCGTGGCTTTTTCTAAGCCTTAGCACGCTTGTATTCCCTCTATAAAAGGGCAAATTGAGTCACGATTTAGGTCTCCCCGTACCCAATATGCATACATTCCCTAGGATCATGCATCCACTCTACCATTTTATACTCTTATCACACTTTCATCTTGCACATGTGCACCTTTATATCTTCACTTGCACACGAGCACTTTTGTCATTACTTGCACACATGCACTCCATATTATCATTTCACATACCGCACCTTGCCCACTCACGTGTACACTCTCACTTACACATTATTGTCTTTTATTACTTTTTCAAACTCATGCCTTCACATTGCATACATGCATTCCATTCATTTGCATCTCACTCGCATTATTCGTGACTTCTTCAAAGGATCGTTATTGGGCTTCACAATTAATGTGATTGGCACCACTCAACCTTTGAAGAGAAATTTCTCCAATTTCCCTAGGTCTAGGGTTTGCATTCATGTAGCGCATCCAAATGTAATAAATTCTTTGGTTAAAACAAGAAAATCTTTGATTAAATCACGCAACTAGCCTTGGCTAGGTCGAAGGGGTGCCTTGGATTTTTATCCTTGCCTTCCCCTTCGTCAAATGTGACTCCCGAACCTTTTTCTTTGGTTTACGTGGACTAGGAGTCGTTTAAAAGGGGTTTCTTACTACTTTTTCCTATTTTTCTTTAAAAATTCATTTTTTTAGGTGACTTGGTACACCTTAACTCATTACCAAGTGGCGACTCCAATTTTTATTTCAAAAACCCTTTTTAAACTATAATTTTGGGTCAAATCGTCGCATTCTCAACCCCCCATTTAGACCCATTTTTCTTTTAAATCACAATTCATTTTCTAATCACAAATTGAATCAAAAAATACATTTTTTTAAACCATTTACTTATTTATCAAAAAATGGGGCGCGACAGTTGGCGACTCCACTGGGGACATTTGAGAGTCCGAGCAAATTTGATTTAATCAACATTTTTCTTCTTTTAACCTTTTCATATATCACATTTGGGTGTTTTAGGGTTGCATTTTTCCTTTTTAGGATTTTTGCATTTCACGCGTCTCCAACTACTCTCTCGCTCGCGAATGTATGATTGGATGTATGTTTACTTGTTTATCTCGCGCTTGCATTGCATTTGGGGGGGTGTGTCACCATTAAAGCCTCGCGTGGTTCTCAACCCCTTCCCTCAAAATAGGGAACACTTCATACGTGCACGTTTACTTATTGTTATCCCATTTTATTTTATTTTTCGTGGGCGCTACCCCACACCGCCTTGTAGGATTAGGATTGATTGCCTTGGGTAGGCGGATGGTGTGCACTGCGCCCATAGCGCTACCTAAGGGATCACTCGAGCCACCGATCGAAGGCCTTGGGAGTGATGACCCTTTGCCTTTAGGTCTGAAGGCTTGGGAGCCGAAGCCTTATCGAGTCTAGTCGCATTAGTGAACCCCAGCCTCATGCATCCATGTTAGCCTTTTCCTAGGTTAGAGTCAGCCTCACCCTCTTTTAGGCAAATTAGGCACGAGGGAAGGGGTTCCACCCCTTTTATTTGTTTTTATTTTATTATATTTTTTTTAATTGCTCCCAATGTGTTATGTGTACTATCAATTGCACTAACCATTCTTTTGTTTTCTTGGCTTGCATTCATGTGCCTTAGCAATAAGAGGCCATTTTGGCACTCTTTTAGTGGCCTACCCACTAGATAACTCACATGTTTAAATTTTAGTCATTACACTTAATTTTCAATAAGTACATTTCATTTTTAGACCCTTTCCCCCTGATGCATTATTCATGTCCTTTAGGCCATATTTGTCACATATTTACATCGCTTTAATAAACTGGCATCATGCATTAAACCCTAGAAAGGGAATGCCACTTAGGGGATCCCGTGTTAGAAATAAACCACCTCGCGTCTCGGATACTTAATCCAAGGAGACTTGCACGTTTACATTTTGTACCATCCAAAGGGATAGTGCACAAGGTAAGGTAGGATCCGATCATTTTCATAGAGCGGTCTTTGGAATATGAGCGTCTAATAATCGCTTTTTGGCCATTTTATCAAAGTTGGTAAAAATCCCTTGCGTAAAAGGACATTAATTTGGAAAAATTCACAACTAATTCCTCCTATTGAGACGATAAATAAATTGAGGCCAAAATTCGATTTTTAGAAGGTCATAGACTAATGCACCTCAATAATTTTGAAATAACCAATGGTCGGACAATTCAACCAATCCATTTTGCCAATTCATTCAATAAATCATCAATTCATTTGACCAATTTACCCTTTTTAGGGTCATTCGGTCGATTTTGAATAAATCGTCAATTCTTTTGACCAATTTACCCTTTTTAGGGTCATCCGGTCGATTTTGAATAAATCGTCAATTCATTTGACCAATTTACCCTTTTAGGGTCATCCGGTCGATTTTGAATAAATCGTCAATTCATTTGACCAATTTACCCTTTTTAGGGTCATTCGGCCGATTTTTGAATAAATCACTAATTCAATTTCATTCATTTAGCCAATTTACCCATTTTTAGGGCAACCGAGCCGATTTTGAATAAATCAAGTTTCGTTCAATCTATTTGATCAATTTACCCTTTTAGGGTGATCTGATTAATTTTGGATAAATTAAATTTCATTCAATTCATTTGACCTGTTTCCCTTTTTAGGGTAATCCGGTCGATTTTTAATAAATTGTCCATTCCATTTGACTAATTAGGGTTTCAATGTCGAATTCCAAATTGAGAAATTTAGTCGATTTTGGGAAAACCATCCATTGCATCCAGCCATTTGATCAGTTGGGGTTTTGACCCGCGCTTTACTGAGGAAATTTTGTCAACGAATTCCAATCTCTTCGATAGGAAGTTCGTCAAGGTCAAACACGTGCGTTTTTGCAAATTCTTGTATCGATCAAAAGTGATCAATTCATTCGGACGTTGACCTCATTTTGACAAATGTCTCTCGTCATTCCAATTGACCAAATTTTTCAAAATTATTTCTCACTCAATGAGTTGATCGGATCCGTTAGGTATGGTATAGTGCCTACCCTAGAGGATTGCATTTTCATGCTAGGCCTACTCTTGGCACAAAAAGGGTTCCCCCATAGGACATGCATCCGAATTACTTCAATTGTTACTAACTCCTGTCTTTTCCTTTTTCCTTTTTCTTTTCTTTTTGACAGCAGTCAATCAAGAAGGGTATCTAATAAGGGTTTTCCTACATTCTCAGGTAGTATATAGCTACCCGAAAAAGCCCCATTATCACCCGATCGTGTAACCGAGCTTCAAGAGATAGTGTAAACATGAGTACCCATCCAGAATCATCTGATAGGCCCGCAACTACATCACCGACTGACTTGACAAATCTGGGAGCTCAACTGCGTGAAGTTCTAAACCGATTTAATGAGTTGAGCGTTGGAATGATGGCCCAACGGCGAGTAATCGATCAATTGGTAGCTAGTGGTGCTAGCGGTGAACAACATGAGCCCCTACCTCCTGGCCACTCTGAACCTCAACCCATATTTTTACCTTATATTCAAACCTCTGTTACTTCACATGTCATAAACCCACCTGAGGAAGTCTTTACTTATCCCACTCATGGCCCACAACCTGCTTATGCACCTTACATCCAAACTAACCCTCCTCATGTCCAAATTTCCCAAAATTATCCGCCAATTACTATGAGCATGCCATTCGAGCCACAGGGACCTTATTATTACTCTACCGCTGAGCCATTCACCCTAGATACCGCTGTTCAAGGGAAAGTTGAAGCTGGGGAGTCATCCGCACCAGTGGATAAGAATTTACTAAAGCGATTGGATCGGTTTGAGGAGTTCATAAGGAAAAGCCAAGGCTTGAACAAACAAGGAGGGTTAGACTACAACGAGCTGTGCCTATTTCCGGATATGCAATTGCCCATGGGTTTCAAAACGCCCAAGTTTAGCAAGTATGATGGAACGGGCAACCCCAGGACGCACCTCCGAATGTTTGCCAACAAGTTGGGCAAGCCAATAGATGACGAGAATCTACCAGTTCGGTTGTTTCCTGAAAGCTTAGAAGGTGATGCACTGGACTGGTATTCCAATTTGAAACCCGAGGATATGAGGACGTGGCTGGACTTATCAACCGCTTTTGTAAGGCAATATGAATACAATTGCGAGCTGGCTCCAACGAGGACCACATTGGAGGGAACCAAGAGGAAACCGTCCGAGGACCACAAGACATATGCGAAGAGATGGAGAAAATTAGCTGCCAAAGTGGAGCCTCCCATGACTGAAAATGAGATTGTTCATACGTTCATCAAAACTCATGACCCGCCCTATTTTGAGGAAATTTTTCGAATGACTGGGTGTTCCTTTGCTGAAATTGTCAATAAATTGGAAGAATTTGATGAGTTTGTGAAGGCCGAGAAAATTGTTAATGTGTCAACATTGAAGATGCAACTAGAGGCTCTGCAAGGCCAGAATAACAGTGGGAAGAAATCCCAATTTAAAGGAAAAGAAGAGGAAACTGCTTTTGTTGGGGATCAGGGCCCCTCGGCCAGATCTAGATTTTCAAACCGCCTTGTTTATTCATCACCCTATCCATACTACCCAAACTCCCGTCCTATCCACCATACTACCATTAACCATTCTCGACTTCGACCAAATTTACTCACACCACCCTTTCAAAATCCACAACCAAATCCCCAAACTAGACCTCGCCCTCATTTTAGCCCAAGACCTATTCCACCCCCTAGCCCAAATTACTACTACCAACAAACCAGTGACACCCAAAATTCAACGCCATACCGACCCTTCACCAATCTAGGTCGGTCTATTGACCATTTATATGAGCAATTGAAAGCTACCGGGAAAATTGGCGTTATACCTCCTAAGATCTATTCTAAGCGCTTTCCATCTGACTATGACCCTCAAACAGTCTGCGCTTATCATTCTGGAGCTCCCGGGCATTCCACCAACGATTGTCGGGCATTGAAACATAAAATCCAGGATATGATCGAAGACGGAGAAATAGTGCTAAGGAAAAATGGTGAACAAGGACCGAGCATAAATACAAATCTCTTTCCCGAACACAAAGACGTCTTTGAGGCATCCAACCCCAAAGAAGAAATCTGAAAATTCTGAAAATGGCTGAATAAGTGAGGTTCCTTTTGAAGGGAAGTTTTGATAAATTTGGGGAGTTGTTTTTGTTAAAACAAATGAAAATCGTTCATACATGTGTCTTTTGTTTAAATATGTTTTTTGTAAATAGTTTTCAATCAAGTGACTGCTAAAGACACGTTCCATGATATTAAGTATGGTTTTTCAATAAAATGTACAGTCTTATATATTGTGACTTACACATTCTTTTCAGATGGCCCAGAATAAAACCGTCTGACCCTTTGGATATCACTGTTCAGAAATTTGATGGCAGCGATCTCATAAATGTGAATGTGAATTTCAAAAATGAGATGAGTGGGAAAGAGGCATTCGAAAATGTTTCAAAGAAGCCCGAATGGAATAAAAGAAGTCCAAGCCGAATCGGGATCAAGATTAGGAATAAGAAGCAATTGAACACAGTCCATCGTGGTCAATATGATCAAGAGGATTGGTCTGTGATTACCACTAAAGGGTCAAATCATGACCATTCAGACGAGAAGGCAAAGCATTAAGGTGATTTTTATCAGTACAAAATGAAGCCAAAAGGAGAGTTTGCCGCAAATTGTTGAGGTGCTCTTATCATCAAAAAGGTATCGCCTGGTGAAGCACTTGTTCCCTCAGCCAATCAATTCGGAGATGTGTAAGAAATTTTCATCTGATAAACGAAAGTTTTCTTTTAGAGTTAATGCGAAGAACGGAATGAAAGTCAGGCCCTCTTCTTTTCCCATTAAGACATTATATTCTTAGTTATCCCTTTTGAGCCTTCAGAATAAAATATTTCATTTGGCAACCCCTGAGAATCGCAAACCCCACACTGGGGCAAGTTTGAGTTGAACAGAAAAAGAAAAGTCCCAAGAAGTGAAAAGCGATACAGCAGCAAAATGAAAAAAGAACCTCGGTTGAGCATAAACTGGGGCAAATTTTTGTGAAAAATTTAAAAGAATGGCAGAAGGCCGAAAAATCAAAAGAAGAAAGAAAATGAAAGAGAAAAGCCTCCATTGAGCATAAACTGGGGCAAATTTTCGAAAAATGGATGAAAAAGGGAGAAAATGAAAGAACAAAGAATCTCAGTTGAAAATAGACTGGGGCAAGTTTTGGTTTCACCCTAAAATAGGGTTAATATGAAAATGCCATCTCAGATTATTTGAACTACTTTTTGAAGTCTGCCTTCAAGCCTTAACATTTCCTAGCACCTCACCAAACCCCATTACAAAAGCCAAAAAGTCCTAGCTTCCGTTCTTGGCATTACCTCTTTCAAGGAAATTTTCTAAGTCACATGGCAAATGATGTCAATACACCTTCACTCATGTTGTAAGGGAAGGGGTTGTCGCATTGATGCCATTATTTCTTAAAACACATTTTTTGAGTTGATAAAGGTTGTTTGCAAGATTTGTTCATCAGGTAAAAATCCGAAAGGGCACCTTTGAAAAGAAAAGGAAAAGAGAAGAAGAAGATAAAAAAAGAAGAAAAAGAAAAGCAAAAAGAATGAAAAATGAAAAAAAATGAAAAAAAAGAAGAATAAAAAAAAATGAAAAAAGAAGTGGGAATAGCCTTAGTGAAAACCTAGAAGGGCGCTAAGGTAGAGTTTCATGAGAAAAGTGAGATTGGAATTAGAAAGCTGGTGATTTGATTCATTTGGGATTCCTCCTCGCATTATGATTTTTCTGTTGCCGATATTGAACTCAGGGCAGATGATATCTAAAGTGTGACGACCCCACTTCTCCCAAGGGCGAACCCAAGGGTATCGGCGGGCCGCCTGCCTAGCTCGCGCCAGGACTCAAAACTTAAAGTTCGAAAGAACACTAAAAACAATATATACAATCCCAAAAGAGTTATAATTACATTCTCCCAAAAGTATCGGGTCAAACCACCAAAACAAAAACAAACATCCTAACTGTTCAACTATTACAAGCCAATCTAACTATACTAGTATACGAGCCAAAAGTCCCCGCGTCGGCCCCTGCTAAGGAAAACAAAAGGAATGGGGTAAGCTATCTGCTTAGTAAGTAAACAGGGGCGAAAGCATAAATTTCACGTAACAGTTACACAATAAAAGTAAAGCAAAAGCAGAAAAGTAACATCACATAATAAGGATACAGGTGGCTCCAAAGCCAACTCATGTGCCATGCGTGATCTCCTGCCGACACTCCGTCGACTGCAAATAATAGTCCGTAGAACTTCACTTGTTCACCCACCGACACCTTATCACCCTCACTGGCCAGTCACCTCACAAACTTGCCCGGGCGAACGAAATCACAAACTTGAGCTTGAGTCACAAGCTCGGGTCACAAACTTGGTCACCTTCTCGGTGAACCGGATTTACAAAATTGGTTCATAACATGAACCTACAAACTTGGTGACCTCAGACTAAGTTGGACTGCCTTCGACCAAGCCCTAACCGGCTCGAATAGTCCAACCAGGTCAAGAGTTCGCCCCAAACTCACAAACTTCACAAAATTATTCAAAATCACAAACTTTGCAAACTTCACAAACTTTATTCGAAAGTCGCCCCGAGCCACAAGCTCAAGGGTTTTGGTTCCAAAAGGTTCATATACATATGCCAAGTACAATTATACATTCAAATTAGGGTTTAGGTCGAGTGCGATAAAGTACACCCTCGCCTAAGTGTCCTTTTCACATATCTCAAACACATAGCAAAGAAAACACACCAAACTGGCCTGAATACTTACACAGAAACTGAAATAGCAAAAGTACGAAGTCGAATCGAAATGAACAGCTAGTAGTGGGCCCCACCAGTTCCGCCCAGCTCACCACCGTCTGAAATAGAAGATTGTGTCACATAATATCGCAAACGACTTTTATCGTGCCTAAAACAAGCAAAACGGCAAAAACGGCACGCGCGCACGTAAATATGACGAACGGAAACGGAGACGGCCATTAGCGGAAACGGCAGATTTGACACTCGTTTCTAATTTACTCATAAGTTGAGCTACGAACATCGGATTAAGGCGTATGAGACGCCATATCGAAGCTTAAAGGATGAACAACAACTGTTATGAAGACATCCAGAACTGAAACTGGAGGCTTTAGTCCCAAATGAACCAAACACAATCACTTACGAAATCTGGCCAATGCACAAATGGTCAGTTTTGAGCGCAAACTGTTTTCTATGCTACACATGGTCAAAAGAGCTGAAAATTGGCAGTTAGATAGTTCATTCCAAATGGAACAACTTTCATGAAGGTTGGCAATCCAAATTCGGAACGGAAATTGGTCATCAGGACCAAAACAGATTTCTGGTCATTTTCACGGGTAGGCCTTGTTTGCTCGGCTATATCTCAGGTTTTATAAATCCGATTCATGAAATTCCAAGGGCGTTAGAAAGCTCTGATATAGGGCTATAAGTTTGGTGTTTTGGTCGGAAGCCCAAACTGTGACGGCCCCACCTCTCCCTAAGGCGAACCAAAGGGTTCGGCGGGCCGCCTGCCCAACTCTCGCCGGGACTCAGTCGTTCACTACATTCCTCAAACAGATTACAATATAAATCTCAAAATTACATCAAATTCTCCAATAATTACATATCACTAATGCAGCAGAAACTGATTCCAATCGTGGAACGTATACTTACATCCATATCAATTTCAAATATTTATACAAGACCAACCCGTACATAAAATAGATCCAAACTTAAACTGTAAACGATATAAGCCATCCAGTCACGTGAATAAGCACTCCAAGCTTTTCTTCGCCTTGAGCCCTATGGAGGGGAATAAAATATTTTTGGGGTGAGCTAGAAGCTCAGCGAGTAACCATTGAAATCAGTAATCAAATCGGTTTCACAATAGTTCATTTCAATGATGTCATAAATTAAATGATAAATCCGGAAACAACTACATCATTTGCAAAACAGTAAATATGGATTATCAATAATTCAAGAAACATTTACAATGGAAAGCGATAGTAACATTCATGAAAGGATACATTCATTCTCCTGACATTTTCTCGCTCATTTGGTCATTCATTTCATTTCATTCACCCGTCCCTGGCTTTTGGCCAGGCTCCACCAACCTACATAGGTAATACTCGAGTATACCAAACGTTCACCCAAGTTCCTAATCGCCTGACCGAGTCCGCTTCTGGCTCAAGACGACCGGTAACAAGGGGCAATGGCCAGTTCAGCCCAAAAGGCTTACATTCATGCGCAAGTAACATTTCAATCGAAAATTTCACATTTATCGAGGTCGAGTGCGATAAAGTACACACTCGCTCGAAAACTCGTTTTGGAAATCATTATAAGCGCTTAACACGTTATCAACCAAAATACAAGTCATGAAGTCAAGAAATATAGCAAACAAGGCACACTCAAATGCCAGCACACATGATATGCAAGAAAACATTTCAAAAGTAACTTTGGAAACAGTTCAAAAGTAAATAATGTAAGAAACGGTTCATAAATAACTTTAGAAGTAGTTTGAGGTCACTCACCTCCATGGCTCAGAAATCATCCATCACATAACATTGCCTTGCTCAAATCCACGTCTTAAATCACAAACTCAATGCAAACAAATCCTTTAAAACTTCGGACAGCACTTCCCCTAAATTTGCTTACTTTCCCAGCCATCATGGCTTCATTATTTCCTCAACCAGTCCCAAAGGTACACACACAACAACAAGTTCATCCAATAGTCATTCAGCAAGCTCCAAGTAGTACAAAGACAAGTCAAGCTAGGAAAAAGTCTGGAAATGAAAGTTAAGTTCAAAACCAGAAAAACAGGTTTTGACGTCATTTTGCGGTAATGGTACCAAAGGCACTACGATTGTGGGATGAGGGTGTAAGACCCACCGTTTCGAAGCTAAGAACCAGGGCTACAACAATGTAGAAGGTCACTCAATCCATTTCCTAGCACAACTAGGTCAAAAATGCAGAATACCACAACCTGAACCGTAATTGCAGGTTTACGAATCACACAAAACTGTAATCAGTATAACTCGGTCTATACAGGTCCAAATGCATTGATTCCAAAGGCATATGGTAGCTAAGACATCCAGATACATTTCATTAGAAGACACCAACATCCAAATCCAAAGCAATTCCAGTCAAAATGGCCAATTACAAGTGCAGTTTTCGCATTCTGATCAACCCAGAACAGCAACAGTAAAATCGACATATCTCACTCTACACTAGTCCAAATGACCTGAAATTTTACAGGCACTTCAAACTTATCAATACCTACAACTTTCATGTTTTAAGTAAAGGCCAATTCGGCCTCTAACATGGTGCAATAAATTCGGGCAGAATGAAGAACTACAAAACCTAATTCTCTGAAATTTCTTCCAAAACAGAAATTGATTGCACTTAATCACTTTTTCCACCTCCTAGAGTCATTAAACATTATTTCCAATCATCATACATGACCACCTAATCATATCCTTATGAAAACAGAAAAATCCCCAAAAATAATAAAACTTCACCAATTCAACCAAACTCAAGAAATAATCCATGAAATTGCATCTTATAACACCGCTAATCATGAATTGAACATCATTAGAG